AACTTTTCTTAGATTTAAATAATCATGAATAATCGAATTAATTGCTGTGGAACTGATACCCAATATGTTTTCTATTTGTTGATACGTCGAATGAGGAACATCTTCAATTATTTTTCGTACAGCATCAATTGTTTGTTCATTAACAGATGTTGAAGGACGACCTAAAAGTGGAGCATCTTGAACATTAAAATTATCGCGTTGAAATTCATGAAACCAATTGAAGACTGTGTGGTCAGAAGATGCTTGCTCCCTCCATGCTTGCACCAAACGGGCATGACTATGCTTGTACGTTAAGCCAATTTTCCAATCATATAAAATCATAGTGCGAAATTGTTCACGTGAGAGTTGAAAACTCATATCGAAAATGATGCGAGGGTGACATGAAAAACAAAGAAAAAGTACAACGATGGGTAACGCGTGGACGGCTGAAATTTTGTACATAGCCCTAAATATGTTTAAGTATTATAGCGGAATAGATGTCTTCAAATTATCATTTCTAGAAGAACTGTATAGAAAAACTTTTGTAGTGCCCTATGTATATTGTCAGTTAATTTATATGTCTGGCAAATATGATAAAGAAGTGTTGTGTAAGAATAATACTCTTTTATCTTTTGGGCTAAGTTAGAGCACTCCGTGCATATCTTTTGATATTTTTTCTATACGTATGTAGATATATGTGTAAAAGTAAGTAAAAATGTTTATTTTCTGCCATGTCAACTGAAAAAAGCTTCTCATTGAATGATCCTCGACATTATCATGTTACATTTTCTTATTTTACATATAAAAGCTACCTAGATTTTTTTTTTATTTACAATACGGCACGGCCAGCCATCGGTCCCCTTCGTTGGGGAAGGTTCGAAATCAGTAAGATTCAGAAAGAAAAATTTGTTATAGAGAGTGTGATCTTGCAATATTATTAAGTTTGTTCCGTATTCCGAGTTACACAGCTGACACATAAAACCAATATCATTTTTCTTTCCTACGAGTTTAAAAACACGAATAATTACGAAATTTCACTGTTTTTTCACTT